TCGCCACGGTGCACACGTCGCGCAGTAAGCCCGGCGCGATCCCGGGATGCCGTTCCGTGCGGATTTGCGCATCCCGGCGTCGGGAATTCCGCAGCAGAGACGGAGCAGAGAAGCGTCTGCAGTGAGGGGGGAAGGAAAGTTGGGAGAAAGCCGAGTGGGATGGACTGAAGGGCAGGGATTCCTAGCGCGTTCCCGGGGCGGATGCTCCGCTTTTCCAGCCGTGTCCCAAAGAAACGGGCGGATCTTTGGGATGGGGAGAACCAGCGCCGCTCACGGCTCCGCTTCCCTCCCAGTGATCAACAAATACAAACGGCGACGCTTCCAGAAAACCAAGAATCTCCTGACGGGGGAGACGGAGGCGGATCCCGAGATGATCAAGGTGAGCGGCCCCTTCCCGGCCGTCCCGTTCCGGACGGCTGCGCTCGGGGGCTCTGCAGGGCTTCCCAGCGGGATTTGGTGCCCGTTGCAGAGGGCGGAGGACTACGGCCCCGTGGAGGTGATCTCGCACTGGCACCCCAACCTCACCATCAACATGGTGGACGACCACACGCCCTGGGTGAAGGGCAGCGTGCCGCCCCCGCTGGACCAGTGTAAGGCTCCTCCGGCGGGAATCGTCCCGGGAATCCCGGGAATCCAGGGAGCAGCCCCGGGATCCTTTGGGATGGAGCTGCCTCCGTCCCACGCGGCTCGGGGGGCTCGGACCGGGCTGAGCTGGGGCTGGGCACCTTTACGTGGCATAAAACGGCTCTGGATTTGGGATTTGGCACCTTTACATGGCATAAAACAGCTCTGGATTTGGGATTTGGCATCTTTATGTGGCATAAAACAGCTCTGGATTCGGGATTTGGTTGCTCTAGGCACAATAAAACAGCTCTCGATTTGGGATTTGGCACCTTTACGTGGCATAAGACAGTGTTCAATTTGGGATTTGGCTCCGCTAGGTGCCATAGAACGGTGCTCCATTCGGGATTTGGCACCTTTTTGTGGCGTGAAGTGGCTCTCGATTCGGGGTTTGGCCCCTTTACGTGGCATAAAACGGCTCTCGATTCAGGGTTTGGCCCCTTTACGTGGCATAAAACGGCTCTGGATTTGGGATTTGGCACCTTTACGTGGCATAAAACAGCTCTGGATTTGGGATTTGGCGCCTTTTTGTGGCATAAAGTGGCTCTCGATTCGGGGTTTGGCCCCTTTACGTGGCATAAAACGGCTCTCGATTCGGGATTTGGTTGCTCTAGGCACAATAAAACAGCTCTCGATTTGGGATTTGACACCTTTATGTGACATAAGACAGTGCTCGGTTTGGGATTTGGCTCCCCTAGGTGCCATAGAACGGTGCTCCGTTCGGGATTTGGCTTCTCTAGGCACAATAAAACAGCTCTTGATTCGGGATTGGGCTTCTCTAGGCGCTGCAGAATGGCTCTACATTCGGGATTTGGCCCCTCTAGGTGCCATAAAACGGCTTTAGATTCGGGATTGGGCTCCTGTAGGCACCGTAGATCGGCGCTCCCTTTGGGATTTGGCTCCTCTAGGCACTGTAAAACAGTGTTCCATTTGGGATTTGGCTCTTTTAGGCTCTGTAGAACTGTGCTCCATTTGAGATTTGGCCCTTCTAGGCGCCGTAGAATGGCCCTGGTTTTGGGATTTGGCTCCTCTAGGTGCTGTAAAACGGCTCTAGATTCGGCATTTGGCCCCTCTAGGCACCATAAAACAGCGCTCGAGTTGGGATTTGGCCCCTCTTGGCGCCGTAGAACGGCTCCAGTTTTGGGATTTGGCCCCTCTAGGTTCTGTAGAATGGCGCTCCCTTCGGGATTTGACCCCTCTAGGCACTGTAAAACCGCTCTAGTTTTGGGATTTGGCCCCTCTAGGCACCGTAGAACGGCTCTAGTTTTGGGATTTGACCCCTCTAGGCACTGATTTGGCCCCTCTAGACTCTGTAAAACAATTCTAGATTCGGGATTTGGCTGCTCTAGGCTCCGTAAAACGGCGTTCCATTCGGGATTCGGCCCCTCTCGGCGCCGTTGAGGGCTCGCGGGGCTCCCCGCGTTGCTCCACTCTCTCTCTCGGCCGCAGACGTGAAGTTCGACGCCGTGAGCGGCGACTACTACCCCATCCTGTACTTCAACGACTACTGGAACCTGCAGAAGGACTACTACCCCATCAACGAGACGCTGCAGCGCCTGCCCTTCCGCCTCTCCTTCTGCCCGCTCTCCCTGTGGCGCTGGCAGCTCTACGCCGCCCAGAGCACCAAATCCCCCTGGAATTTCCTGGGAGAGGACCTGTACGAGCAGTCGGACGAGGAGCAGGACTCGGTGAAGGTGGGAGGCGCTCGGGGGCTTCCTGCTTCCTCGCGGAGCCGGCCTTCCCGGGCCGTTT